TATTTAAAAATATAAATTTTATATTTTCTTAAAATTTAAATTATAAATCTAATTTATATTGACACTTACTCATTCGCAAATAAAAAATCACTTTTGTTAAGTAAAGTATAAAAATAATTCTTTTACAAAGTTCATGAATATTAGTGGTATTACTATTAACCCGATAATAACAATAATAATAATGATGATGAAAAAAAAAAAGAAGAAGAGCCAAAAAGCCACAATAGATTTTAGCTTGGGGACACTCATCTGTTCATGGTTGGCTTAATCACAACAGAATCAGAACCTTCTTCCTTCGATTTAGCTTTAATTCCGGGATACTACTAAACCCATTTAAAATCCCTAATCTTTTGTTTCTTTAATCCTTCCAGCACTATCGTAGATGACATTTTATCTTGGTTTCTTGGGAAAATTCTCTCTTCAGACAGTCTAATTTCTCTATTTCGCTGTCTCTCACGCATCTTCTTCTTCATCACCAAATTTAACGCCTCCTCATCACTCAATATGCTGTTGGGTGAGAAATTCTAGAGGAGGAAGAAGTCGAATATTGGATTCATTGGATTCAAATCTTGATTCTTTTTATGTTCTTTTGTACTGGGTTCTCTGGAATAGGAGCTCATAGTGCTATCCAGGTACTGGGGGAAAGAAATGGCATTTGCTTCACTTGATTGAGTTTTTCGGATTCGCTTTTGTTTGTTCTGGATTCAAGTTGATTCTTTTTCCTTCAAATTTGTAATGTAGGGTTCATTGGGTATTCAATTCAACAACGGGTACTTGTTTTTGATGAACAAATATGGCCTTCAAATCTAAGATAAAATGGGTTGCAGTGTTTGTGTTGACTTTATCTTTAGGATCAATATTGATGCATCTTTCAATGACAAAGTTTGCAAGTATGGATTTAGTGCAGCATGGTGCAATGGATGCTATAAGCCAGGATTTCCCAGTGGTAGTAGGATCACGGGTGAGCTTGGATTTTATTTTGCTATGTTACTGAGATTATTTTTTTATCTTTATGCTTATCTTTTTGGATTTATATGTATGGCTTGTTGTTTAGAGAGCTCTTTTTTCTTCCTCTCTATGCTACAGGGTATTAGAACGAAGAGACTATGGGGGCCTGTCAAGACTTTGGAATCTTTGAAGCCATATCCAAATCCAAGAAGCACTTATCCTGGTAAAGGGTTTTGCCGAAGCTTCTTGCTTGTATAACTAAAGTACACTTCTTATCTTCTTTATGCAGGTTTGCTGACTTCTTGTAGTTTGAAATAAGAAATTGTAACTGAATTTTTCTTTGGCAGTTCTGGTGTCTTCTAAGAATTTCAATTTTCCAGAAAATATTACATCATTTGAAGCATTTCATGAATAATTATAACGCCTCAAGATTGCATCTGAAAAGAACACACTGGTTGGTTTAATGACTAGAATGATGACAGTTCATGCAGTCACTTCCAGTTCTGTTAATTTTTGGCAAGGGTGCTCATTTTCTTTTTCTTATCTTCTAATTAGACATAAAAAGTAATCTGCTATTCCATTTGTGAAAGTCACCCAAATGCACTATTAGAGATTTAACTTACCACCATGTATGTGTAGTTGTTATTACAAGCGGATTCTTGATTTTTAGAGAACTATTTTACCGGAGCAACAGTTTTTTTCTGTTTATTTTTTTGGTTGATCAAGATAATCAAATATTTACTTTCTAACAGTTCCCAATCAGAAGAACAATGGTTTCATCTTTGCAAAAGTTTTTGGTGGATTTGAGAAGATAAAATCTTCGGTATGGTTCATTAGATTTGTAAATGTATATTTTAGTATAGTTTTTGTTGGGAGTTTGTAACATTTTTGTTAAAATTTCTAGATCTGTGATCTTGTCACCATATCCAGGCTTTTAAATGCTACTCTTGTAATTCCAGAGATTCAAGAAACTACTCGCTCAAAAGGCATCAGGTATAATGGCTTCTTAACTTCTTCTACATTTATAAAGCATTTTCCTGTCTTTTCTGTAGTGGCTTCTAATTTCTTAACCTTCTTATTGTTTTACAGTTATAAATTCAAGAGCTTTTCCTATCTCTATGATGAGGAGCAGTTCACTGCATCCCTTATAAGAGATATAATCATTGTGAAAAGTCTGCCTGAGAATTTGAAGGCTGCTAGAAAAAGGAATGAGTTCCCCACTTTTAAGCCCAAAAGCTCTGCCTCTCCAAATTTTTATATCCAAGTTGTTTTACCGAAATTAAAGAAAGCCAAAGCTATTGGATTGATTCTTACTGATGGTGGATGCCTGCAGGTACTTAAAGCCATTTGAACAAATAATGCTTGTTTCTTGACTAAGTGTTTATCTTTTATCATGTATGGTTCAGTCAGTTATTTTCTTACTCTTCAATTATTTTACTCATTAGCATATGCTAATATCTTGCTGTCAGGATGTTCATGATTCTCACCTATATGCCCCCACAAAAATAGTCATACTCAGATGAGCCTTGAATTTCATATGGTCTGATAAGTTCTTTTGTTAAAAAAAGTTATCTTTGCCCAGGATGATGTTTAAAAATAAAAAGAAGGAAGAAAATTAATTACTTTCAAAGATCTGAAGTAATTTGGGCACAAATTACTAGTAAAGATAGCATGTCACAGGTGTTTAATTTTGGTATTGCAAAATATAACTTTTGATAGCTTTTGTGACGTGAGTCTCTTTTATGCTTTGGTAGTTTCTGTAGTTAAACCTATTTTTAAGGGCATTTATTTTCATACCTCTATTATAAAGACTAGTTTAACATGTTGCAAGCAAGAATTAAAAAGTAACCATGGTTGTGAAACAATACAAAAGGTAAAAATGCCAATCATTATTACTTTCTATGTAATAGTTCTAGTTCTCTGGGTTTCTCTGTCCGTTTGGAATTTCCTGCTTCTGGTGCAACTAGTCCTTAATTTGTATGCATAAGCTATAAAGTAATTAAAGGCAGCAGAGTGGCTATTATTATTATACATGTATGCTGTTGGATTTTCTGAATAATCTCACTGGTACTTCAAATATTTATACTATCTTTATTAGTTGCTTCCATTACAGTTTTGGTTTCTTCCTATTTAGTTGCACTGACCAATTTCCTGGTTGGGCCCGGGCATGCATATCTTAGCTGATCTTTTTTATTTTAGTTTCGTATTCTTCTTGTCGATTCTTTTACTACTTCTCATGACTTGCACATTGTCTTTAATACTCAAATTATTACAGTGACTTTGAAGCAATTTCATATCTGTTTCAGTCAATTCTTCCACCTAGCATGTCTGAGTTTCAGAGGCTTAGGTGCCGGGTTGGCTTCCATGCTCTCAAATTTCGGCCAGAAATTCAGACCCTTGGTCTCCAGATGGTGGAGAGGTATAATATTGTTCCAAAAAAAATTAATGCAAGAAATCAAGAAGCTAAATATAGAGAATTCACTTATTACGCATTCAAAATTTCTGCCAACTTCTGGTGACTTATGGGCTTGCAACTCCACTTGTGCAGAATTTTTTGACTTGGTCACCTTTTGTGAATCCTTCTGACAACCATAATATGTTTGCTACAGGCTACGAGCATGGGGGCAACCTTTTCTAGCCTATCATCCTGGCTTAGTAAGAGACACGTTGGCATATCATGGTTGCGCTGAACTTTTCCAGGTTAGCTGTTTAAGCCTTCTGCATCATTGTCCACTCTACAAAGGAAAAAGATAAATAAAGAAAGAAAGAAGCTGAATGAAATCCATTTTTAAGTTCTCTATAATTTATTGTCTTGACAATCAATTGTAAATTGGTAATTCTTGTAGGATGTTCATGCTGAACTAATACAATATCGAAGGGCACAAATGATAAAGCAAGGGATTGTTAAGGGAGAGCTGAGTGTTGACTCACACTTGCACAGAGAAAATGGTTCATGTCCCCTCATGCCTGAAGAGGTATGTTAAGAATAATTCTTGCTTCTGGATTACATTCACGTAAGAATTTTTCAGAAGGGGAATAAGTTTTTGTGGCAGATCTCAACATCTTGGCATGTTATTTTATTACAATATGATTTCAAAAAAAGATAAGCTTTAATGTACTTGAGTAATATTTAGCATAATGCAGTAGCTGAGGTGATCAGTTGTGTACATTCAATTATTATAGTAAGTGTAAAAGATTAAGGGGGTTTGGGCGATGACTAAACCTTAAATTTTGCCTCAGGCATATTATTTAGATCTTTATTCTTGGAACTTTTACAGGTTGGACTTCTCATTCGGGCAATGGGCTATCCTCCAAAAACAATTATATATCTGGCAGGCTCTGAAACTTTTGGTGGTCAACGTGTTCTAATTCCCCTACGTGCCAGGTTTCCAAACTTAGTGGATCGGACTTCCTTGTGCAGCAAAGCAGAGTTGTCTGGTTTGGTTGGTCCTGAAACCCCTCTTCCTCCAAATATTTTTAAAATACCAACTGCCAAAAGTGAGAAACAACTTAAAGAGGAGTGGAATAGGGCTGGTCCCCGTCCTCGACCTCTTCCTCCTCCCCCTGACAGGCCCATCTATCAACATGAAAAAGAAGGCTGGTATGGTTGGATTACTGAGAAGGATGCAGAGCCAGACCCTTCACCTATGGATCTTCGAATGCAAGCGCACCGGTTACTTTGGGATGCCCTTGATTATATTGTCTCTGTGGAAGCAGATGCATTCTTTCCTGGTTTTAACAATGATGGTAGTGGATGGCCAGATTTCTCAAGCTTGGTCATTGGACATAGGCTGTATGAAACTGCTTCTTCCATAACATACCGTCCAGACAGGTAAAAGAGTGAGAAAACTAATGGCTCGAACCTTGAATTTATTTCCAGCCTAAAAAATGAACCTTGAAACTATCAAATGGTTTGAAAATACCACAGAAATTGAATATTTCATTTTTTTTCCTATTACCCAGAAAGGCAGTTCATCTGCATCAACTAAAAAGTAATAATGAAAAGTATTAGCAGATCTGATAACAAAAGTATCAGATACATTGAAAGACCATTTAGATGGGTCATATGTTTTAAGGTCAAGCAGCTGCCTCATGTAACAGCATCAATTTTCTCCCTAATTTTGGGCATATTATGGTCAATGTTTATTACAAGTAGGCTGATTTTCTCTTAGTCAATGCATCTTGATATCCATGTCTGACACTGCATTTCTTTTTTCTAACAGGAAAGTTATTGCTTCACTGTTCGACATAACTCGTGATGATATGTACCATCCAAAGTATTCTTGGACACTTTCAGTGAGGGAACATCTCAACAAAAGCTTAAGTGAAGAGGGCCTTATAAGACAATCCCAGTTGTCAAAACCGAGGTTGTTTCTATCACACCCACTTCCTGAATGCTTGTGTAGAATTTCACCTGTTGAGGTTACAAATGAACTAAGATTTAATGACCAAGTCTTGTATGGAGATGAAGATGAGTGCCCCAAGTGGATGCATTCAAATGGGGCTGAAGAGGTTAAAATTGATGATGTGGAACTGCTAGAAGACGATAATGATGTGGTTGAGCAGCAGCCAGAATCTGATGAAGGCAGCAACAGAGATAGTTTGACTCAACTACTTGAGCAAGATGACGAGTGGGATCCTAATGACTAGAATTTGATTTGAGAATGATGCAACAACATACCATTTAATCCACGAGGAATTCAGTTTCCAGTAACTTTTTCTGGACTAAAATTTTGGTGACACAGGGTAACAACCTAAAGCCATTCTTTTATTTCAGAGTTCCAGTATAGACTTTTTAGGTTTGTAAATAGTCAATTGGTTCCCAGTAGATTCAAGTAATCCTTTACTTACACAAACCAAAGATCATTTGTATACCTTCATACCTTGATAGCAGAAAGATTTATGCAGCAAGAAATCACAGCTTGCAATACAATGCCAAAGTGCCGCTATTTTAGAGTGGATTGTTACAGTCACATCGATTTGAGAGTGCTGTAATCTTTCTGGTACTCGAACATATGTGCCTCTTTGAACAGCTTTTTGCTGTTAGAAGAGTGTAAATTTTCATTGAGAACAACGTCAATGAGATAGGTTTTTAGATTTTTGTTATTAATGAGTTCAATTCTTATCGCTTCCATTTTTGGATTGATAAAATTTTTATGTTAACAAATGCGAGATTATATGTATGTTCAAATTTTGAGAGAAATTAGTTTATAGGAAATGATCAAGAGCCACTTTTGAAGGAAATGGAAGGGAAGCTAATGTCTTAATTTAAGTGGATGGATTTGATGGATCACAGGCTCTAAATGATTAGGTATCTAAACCGATGCTTCTATGGATCACCTCCAATAGGCATGTAGAATGTAAATCACCACTTGTGAATAATTTAAATAATTTAGTGGTAATTTTTTTTTATGAAAAGTAAGAAATTTTAAATTTAAATCATATGGTGCTAACGATTTAATTAGCTTAGTAATCATTTTTTTTCGTTAAAAGTAAAAAGCCCTAAGTTCAAATCATATGGCATGTGGGTGGAATGAGATAAGAGATTGGAGATGCTTACTTTCCATTGTGTAACCAAGATTAAAAAAAGATATGATATAACATGTGAGTAAGATAAGTCATGAGTTGAGAGAGAATTGCTTCAATTGTACAATTTAAGATTAAAAAAGCATAAAACATCACCTACAAATCCTTCATAAAGTTAGATAGAACTATTATTTATAGTTCTAACAACCAAATAAATATTTACATAAAAAAAACCCAAATAAATAGGGATAGGTGTTTACATATATATATATATCGAATATGAGTTATATTTACTACATGATTTAAAAGTTTTTAAATATAATTTTTTAAATTTAGTACATACATAAATACTTGAAGACATGTCTATGTTAAGTTATTGGTTTCAAAATTTTCATCATTTTATCATTGTCCATTAAATTATAATAATTTAATGAAAATTTTATGAACAACACATTAAACAAATAACCGTCACCAAAGGCATACCATTGGTTTTTTTTTTTTTTTAATTGAAATTTCAGTGGGCCTACGCGCATAATGCGTAATTAAAATAGGGCAATTAAAACAATTGTATATGACTTGATGAGACGGAAAGATTCAAAAGCTTCAAAGCAGGTGGAAAAGGCTCAGCAAAACGGTTAGCTGCTATTTTTGTGTTATACTACCATCCTAGTTTTTTCATATATTAAGAAATTTTAAATAATTTAATTTTTTTCCTTAATTACCTTTAACCTTTTTTTTTTAAAAAAAAAAAACAAGTTCAATTTAGGGGTGAAAGACGAAAAATAACATGGTATTATCATGTCTCGAACTCTAATTATTATTAAGATTTTAGGTACATTTAACAACTAATTTACGAGGTTGAATGCCTTTAATTACTATTAAGAATGAAGAAAAGTTATTGGTTAAATAATTCATGTTTTTTCATTTCTTGCTAGTATTGATTGTCGTGTTTTTAATTTCCATAGTTATAATATAACATTTTAATTGTTTCATAAAAAATAGTTTATAGTATTAATTATTATATACATTTTATAAAATTTAAAGCACTTATAATAAATTTAATTAGAGTATTTATATTTATGTAAGACTTAAAATTTAAAATTTTACTGAATAAAATAGAAAGTCTATTGAACTCATTATTAGATAATATTTCCAAGATGGGGAAAATTTTCAAACAATTTTCTTCTTTAATATTTTTGTGATGAATTCTTAGTTATTTTCAGTTTTTTTTTTTTTTTGAAAGGCAGAATATTTTAATTATTTTCAGTTGAATGCAAATATCTTTCTTTGACAACTTTTTCAACATGGCAAACGTTGAAAAATTAAAAAAAAAAAAAAAAAACTTTATTCCAATAACCAAATGCAGCCTTTAAATACAGGTATTTGCGCATGACCGACTCTTAAACGTCCGGCCATGAAAACATCAGACTCAGGTCCTGAACGCGTCACACTCACACAATCCAACCCCAATCCCTTTATAAGGATGGCGACATACACAGTGCCCACCATTTCAGGCAACCGGAAATACCTCCTTCTCTCAAATCCCATTTCTTTTCAAGAAAACCCCTCCTTCCCTGGAAATTAAATTCAAGGTACACAAATATCTGAATTCTTCTCTTTTTCAACTTCTGTGCTCTTAATCTCAGAATCCCATTTCTTGTTGCTTCTTGATGAATATGAAGATTTTATTGGGTGGATTATTTTCTCCTTGTTATTTGTGTTTATAGAATCTGAGTGCTTTTTTTTTTTTCTTCCCAACTTTGATAATTGATACCCAGAAAGGAAAAACGAAATGGATTTTGTTGATGGCATGATGGATCATGGGGTATTCGTTTTAAATTTTGCCTCATTGTATTTTCGTCTTGTTTTTAGTTGGTTAATTATTATTATTATTTTTTTTTGGTTGCGCAATAAGAAGAAATCATCTCACAACCCTTATCTCATCTCACAACCCTTATCCCATCTCATATTTTTATTTCATTCCACTCGCATGTTATGCAACTCGAATTCAAAATCTTTTAATATAACCATTAAGTCACTTAGGTTATCGAAGACTAATTATTGTTTTAGATGTTGGTTGTATGGGTTAAAAGGGTGATGAATTCGAAGTCAAACTGTTTTTCTTTTGAAAGCAATCATGTTTTCAATAAAGCTATTTAGAGCATGCATTTGGGACGCTAATAAAATGGGATTGCGGAAAATTAAAATATCTTATCACTTAAAAATATATTTGTGTGTGTTTGGATTAACAACTAATACTTATTAACCAAATTTTCATCCAAACTACCCTTAATAATGATTAAAAGAAATGATTAGGGGAAATATTAGATTTGTGTGGCTGTCAAGATGTGTGCGCAATAGTCATGGTGGGGTTCGACTTTTGAATTTTTGGACAGATAATTGAAGAAAAATGGGCTCTTTGTTGCGTTGAGGGAAGTTTTAATAATTATTTTCTATTATCTTTTTTTTAGTATTTAAAGATACTATTGTTTCTCAGTTTGAATTTGTATAAAAAAAAAAAACTTAAAATTAAGTTATTCACAAAAAAAAAAAATAACTTCATTTTGTTTTTTAATAATATTTTATTAAAATATTTTGATGTATTTTTTTATTTAATTTTTTATAATAGATTGAAACTCACTTTTTCCTTTATTTTAATTTGTAACTTATAATGTGTGTGCTGCATATCTTTTTAGGAACCTTGAGCTTGAAGAAAAAGCAATCTAAACTGGAGTTTGAGTTCGAGGCAAAAGATCTAGAGATGTCAGAGAAATCAGAATCCGATGGCGGTGGAGGAGAAACAGTTAAGAAGAATGAATTGCATTTAAAAGTTGAGACCAAGGATAATCAAGCAAATGAAGAGAAGAACGAGAAGACCAATGTGGAACTTGAATTGAAAACCAAATCAGATGAAATGGAACAATCAAAGCACAGGGAGGACAAGGAGAAATCAAAGAGAAAGGAGAGAAAGGATGATAAGGAGTTAAAGGAGAAAGTGAAGGACGAAGAAAAGAGGAAGGATGATGATGAAAAACTAGACAATGAAGAGAATGCTGAAGATAAAATTAAGAAGATGGAGAAGGAGAAAGAAAAGAAGGGAAAAGATGAAGAGGAGAAAGTTGAAGGCGAACACAAGGAAGGAACAGAAAAGAAGAAGACCGGAGATGGTAATGATAAGGAGGAAGAAGAGAAGAAAAATAAAGATAAGCACAAGAAAGAGAGAAAACACAAGGATGAACGTCATGAGGGAAAAGGAAATACCGAAAGAGAAGAACAAAAGAAGAAGAAGAAAGAGAGGAAGCACAAAGTTGAAGAGGATGAGGGCCAAGAAGTTGAAGGTAGAGAGCTAGTAGAGAAGAAGCACAGGAGTGGAGAGTTAAAGGAAGAAGAGGAGAAGAAGAAAGACAAGGAAGAGAAAGAAAAGAAGAAAAAGAAGGAGCTCAAGGTTGTAGATGATGGAGGAGAAGATGGAGATGAGAGAGAGAAGATGGAAGACAAGCAGGACAAGGAGAGGAGGAAAAAGAAGCTTAAGAAGAGAGAGAAGATGGAAAACAAGGAGGACAAGGAGAAGAAGAAAAAAAAACAGAAAGATAAAGAGATTGAAGAAGATGGAGATGAAGAGAAGAAGAAAAAGAGCAAAAAAGACAAGAAAGATGTAGGGGACGGGGGAGAAGAAGATGAGGAGAAGAAAAAAGACAAAGAGGACAAAGGGAAGAAGAAAAAGGAGCCAAGGGACAAAGATGGTGAAGGAGAAGAGGATGGAGATGAGATAGGTAAGAAAGAAGAGAAAAAGAAGCTGAAGAAGAAAGACAGGATGGAAGATGACGAGGAGAAGAAGAAAAAGAAGCAGAAAGATGAAGACATTGAAGAAGATGCTTGTGGAGAGAAGAAGAAGAATAAAATAGACCAGAAAGATAAGGAAAAGAGAAGAGAGAGAAAGCTCAAGAATGAAGAGACTGGTGGAGAAGAAAATGATTTTGATGATGATGACTATAAGAAAGAAGAGTGGAGAAAGAAAGAAAAATACGACGAAGAGGGAAAAGATGACGAAGATGTAGAGAAGAAAGAGAATTGGGAAAAGGTGAAGAAATATAAGGCAGGAGAAGATAGAGTAGATGAGGTGAAGGGTGCGAGTGAGATAACCTCTAGAGAAATTGAAATAGAAGGAGTTGAAAATGAATCACAAAGAGAACAGAAAGAAGAGAAGGTGGAGGATAAAGCAAAAGAAGGAAAGGAAAAGAGAGCAGAAGAAGAAAAGGAGAGAGTTGAGAAGAGAAGAAAATTCGAAATCAAGTACAAGAGCAAGGATGTTAGCAAGCTAAAGAAGAAATTGGAGAAGATTAATAGTAAAATAGAAACCCTTTTTGAGAAAAAGGCAGAGATCCTGATGCAGATAGAAGAGGCTGAGGAGAAGTGTCGTGATATGGCTGAGAAGCATTCACAAGCGGCAGCCAATGCAACTGATTTCGCATAGCACCATGCAATTGGGTTTCAGTTTCCACTTGTTATTGTGATATAGGATGTCTAGATATGTTCATAATGCAAGGCCAATAAAATGCCTAGTTATTAAAATCTATAATATTTTAGAAGGTTCAACCTTTATCAGGAAAAAGGAAAACTGGAAGGTTGAACCTTTCATGTTGTCCATAAAATAGCTGTTACTTTCTCTTATAAATAAAATTGCCTGCAGTAATTTGCATAATTTTCTCGTTTTAGTTGTCAATTTCCTTTTCTTTTTTTTTTTGGTGTGTGTGTAAACTGTTTGAAGGGTTATGGATTTTGTCAAATAATAACATGTTTATATCACATTATTAATCTCAAATTTTGGTTCTAAATTTTTTTTCTTTATCATCACTACTCTTATGATTTGTTTAGTATAGTGATTTGAGGGTAAAAGTTAGCAGTTTTGCTCAAGTCACTAGAATATATGTTCAATAAATTTATTTATTTCAAATTACTATAAATTAAGTGTTTGGTAAATTTTTTTATTTAGTGAGTCGAGATTAGCAAATATCGATTAAAATTCAAATTGTCAGTGGATTAAAAAAGTTATCTAAGATAATTTTTTGTACCAAATTACTAACAGATTGAAATTTTTTTATTTTATTTACAAATTTATTCTTTTTAATTTTTAATTTTTTGTCACCATTTTTAATTAATATTTATCTAATTAGCGTCAACTTTATTTTTTTGTCTTTAATAACATTAAGTGATTATTATATTTTTATTTTTATATTAATTTATCATAAAAAA